ATCAGTAAGATCGATAAAAAGTAGAGACTTTAAGCTATAAAATGTTTATTTAAAAATTTCAGTCTATTGTAATTTGAGTGGCAAGAAAAGATTTGCAACTTCGTAAATTCGTTCACTTTGCAAAATTTTCAATGTTTAAGTCATCTTTTTTTCCATACCTCGTTTCTTAGTGTAAAATCATCATTGAGGAAAATTAATTCTGGAAATCAAAAGGCTTCGCTCTTTAAAATGAGTTCAGAAAGATTGTTTTACGATTATTTTTTCACAAAGTTATTACAATTTAAATATCGACGATTTTTCAGGTTCATTATTCAATTTTTTCAAAATTGAATGAGCTTTTAATAGCAAAATTCAAGAATCACCTATTCTATCCTCCACAGAAGAGTGTAACGTTGCAAAGATGACAAATCGTAACAAAATTTTTTAATAAGCATTTTATAGCTTAAAGTCTCTACTTTTTATATCGATCTTACTGATCTTTTACGGAGCATTACGAATACAAATAAAGATGCGACAAAATTTGTTACGAATTTTGCAAGATTCCTCGACGCAAATTAAAAATCGCACATAAATGCAGTTTACAGCATTCGAAAGCGTGAATCTTTACCTTTAATTTGCGCACTCGTTGAGCATTATGCGATTTTTTTTCACCGAGTTATTCAATGTTAAAGCATAAGATCATTTTTACTTCAATGTTGAATAACTCGGTGAAAAAAAAATCGCACAATGCTCGCCGACTGCTCAAATTAAAGCTAAAGATTCACGCTTTCGAAAACTGTAAGCCGCCTTTATGTGCGAAATTTAATTCAGATCATGGAACCTTGCAAAGTTTGGGGGAGATTTTGAGATTTGACGAATTTTTTTTGCGAACTTTGCAAAGTTCCAGAAAGTAAAATAAAAATCGCACGCAAATGAGGTTTACATCGTTCGAAAGCGTAAATCTTTAGCTTTAATTTCAGCACCCGATCAGCAATGTGCGATTTTTTTTCACCGAGTTATTCAACATTGAAGTAAAAATGATTTAATGCTTCATCATTGAATAACTCGGTAGAAAAAAAAACGCAAAATGCTCAATGAGTACGCAAATTAAAGATTCACTTTTTCGAATGCTGTAAACTGCATTTATGTGCGATTTTTAATTCGCGTCGAGGAATCTTGCAAAATTCGTAAATTTTTGTCGCATCTTTATTTGTATTCGTAATGCTCCGTAAAAGATCAGTAAGATCAATATAAAAAGTAGAGACTTTAAGTTATAAAATGCTTATTAAAAAATTTTGTTACGATTTGTCATCTTTGCAACGTTACACTCTCCTGTGGAGGATAGAATAGGTGATTCTTAAATTTTGCTATTAAAAGCTCATTAAATTTTGAAAAAATTGAATAATGAAGCTGGAAAATTGTCGATATTTAAACTGTAATAACTTTGTGAAAAAATAATCGTAAAACAATCTTCCTGAACTCATTTTAAAGGGCGAAGCCTTTTGATTTTCAGAATTAATTTTCCTCAATGATGATTTTACACTAAGAAACGAGGTATGGAAAAAAAAGATGACTTAAACATTGAAAATTTTGCAAAGTGAACGAATTTACGAAGTTGCAAATCTTTTCTTG